TGTGCATATTAATCACCTTATTAGCATAATTAGTTATTATTTCAGCTATTTCACCTAATATCTCAAGTACTAATCATCACATTTCAATGAGACTTGCGACATAGATATTCTAGGACTGTGCAGAGACCTGATTAATTTTGGGATAAATAATTGTGCCTATTAATTACCTAATTTGCATAATTAGTTAATTTTTTGCTGTTCTATGGCTGTTGCACTGATGTCTAAAAGCCACTCATTGGATTTCAATGAAACTTTTAAAGAGTACCCATCACATTTCAATGAACCTAGGACTATACACCACATTAGTTTTTGGTAAATATTTATGCTTCTTAATCACCTAATTAATATAATTGATGAATACTGATATCTCAAGTATTGATCATCACATTTGAATAAAACTTGGTACATAAGTGCTCGAGGACAATAGACAGCCTGATTAATTTTGGGTTAAAATCTGTTCATATTAATTCTCTAATTAGCATAATAATTAATATTATTTTGGTACATTGTGCAGACCTTATTAGTTTTACTTAAATCTGTTCATATTAGTTACCTAATTTGCATAATTAGTTTTCTGCGTTTCCATCAACATCTCAAGTTCAAGTAATTTTGAATTAATTTTTAATGTGTCTCCAATACTCTCAGCACACGGGAGTTCTTTCTAAGCTTTCTTTGATTTTGATTGACTGTAATTTTCCAACATTTCATGACGCCTATTGTAGAACCAAATTAGGGCCTTTCACTCCTCCTTGACGCCTATTTAAACGATTATACGGTATCTTGTCGCCAGCCACGAATGTCACACTAGATGAACTTGATTGATACTGCCGACCATTCCGTGCATTTTTATCGACGCACGACGGCACGCAAATCGAGAAAAGTATTGTCCTGCAACAATTTCGCGCAATATGTCACCACTATACAGTGACTGGTTTTAATTTTTATTCAACATTAAAACATACTACAGTGAGTTGTTCTATGGTCGTATAAAAATAAACTACATAAAGATACAGTAAAGTTAACCAACTAAACAGAATGCTAAATAAAGCTAAATAATATTACAAACACATATAGAATCACAATAAACTTGTATGATACAGTACAATACAATACTCTAACTACTATTGCTAAGGAGTGGAAAATCACATTCACATTAGAGTCATAACTATGGAAAGAATATTTTTATATTTGGTGGAGCTGCTCATATATCATTTGCATACATTTTGTATGTATTGTGCAGTTTCCCAGCCAGTCCGACTCGAGTAGCGATTGGTTTGCTATTTCATTACATCTTGCAGCTTTTCAAACAGTATATTGCTAGACATGCATCAATTGTTGTCCATGTATATTCCTAATTGCTCAGTGTAAACTGCAATTTCTTTCTGTCTGGTATAAATATATGTTTTCGTACTGAAAAGACGGTACACAAATATCTTTTTTAATTAAATTTAACAGCTAATGGGAGCACATATGCTACAACCTCTGCTTACTTTTGACTAAATGTTTTTTTGTTTTTTTCAGGTGCAGAACCAGAATTTTTTTCTCAGAAAGCAAAGCCACTGAAACTGCATATATTACAAAAGCATACTATTCGCTGCATGTCTGACAATTGTATAAAATTTTGCAGGTCGTCTTTTTTTTTCTTTGAGAAGTGCTGTCAACCAAAGCATAAATATGTGTTTCTCTGTACATAAAAGTTCAATTTCACACGATTTGTTAATATTACTGTATGATAATAAAAACTAATATTTTTCAGGATTCTTGCACTTTATTTGTATCATTGTCATATGAGAAGTACTCTTGTCCTTATTTAGAGATATTGAAACTAATTCAGGGCCATAAACTACATGTAGATCTGTACATGAAGTACATATGGGAAGTTGTTGACACAGGTAATGTACACCAAGGATCATTGCAGTTTCTCAGTTCCTCATCTGGTG